TATTTACCCACAAATAATATTTACAAGTTGAATATTTAAGAATATATAACCGGGCTAGAGACCTCTGGAAATCCTGTTGGACTTTTAAGACGAGGCCCCTATAGTTTTAGTGTTCAGTAATATAAAAATAGATTATGTACATAAGGACAATTTGCAATGAAAAACACAAACTATTTACAAACAAATATGAAAATGTTTAAGGAATATTTAGTACATTACAGAATACTGTCATTAATATTCCTGAAATATTTACATCAACTAGACATCAAGTAATAGGATTTTGCAGTTCTCTTAAAAGAAAAATATGATTTAATATTTTTAATTTCTTCATCAAGGCAATTCCATATAGAAACTCCTTTGTTAAATACAGTGTATTTGCGATAGTTTGTTCTCTTATAGCTCACATGTAACTTGGTAGAATTTCGAGTATTATAGTTGTATAGTTGTATAGTTCGTTATTTTGTTTGAAGTAATCATTATAAAAGTCCGGCAAATTTTGACAATAATTGAAGCGATACATGAATAAGCTGCATAGATAATCATTAATTTTGTAGATATCCAAGATTTTCAATTGTAAAAATATTGGTTCAGAATGATCCATATAAGATTTAAAACAGATTAGTCGTACAATTTTTTTTTGCACATTTAGTAACTTTTGTAACCTTGTTGGGTATGTACTTCCCCAAACTAGATTTCCGTACGTGAGGTATGGATAGACCAATGCATAATAAATCAATTTCGAAGTGTTTTTGTTCGTAAAATGTCTGAGTTTAGCAATCAGACCCGCAGATTTAATTATGTTTTTCAGAACGGAGTTGATGTGATTCTTCCATGTCAACTCTTGATCAATTAATACACCTAGGAATTTTACCCAAGGTACTTGTTCAACTATATCATTATTTATTTTTACTATGATTTCTTGATGCTGTGACTTATTTTTTTATTTAAAAATGACAAATTTTGTTTTCGATGCATTGATTGATAATTTATTGGCGTTAAGCCATTGCACTACTTCATTCATTTCATTTTGTATAGTACTAGCTAAAGTTTTTAGGCACGAATTTGAATAAAAGGCATTTGTATCATCGGCATATAAGACGAAAGAAAGAATTTTACTGCAGTTTTTAATGTCATTAATGTATATTAGAAATAGTAGTGGTCCAAGAATTGAACCCTGTGGGACGCCAGTCCTAACACTCATTTCAGTTGACCTATGTTGTTTATATTTGACCATTTGAGTTCTTTCCTGTAAATAATTTATAAACCATTGTAGACCTATACCTCTAATTCCATAGTGTTGAAGTTTTTTTATGAGAATTTCGTGATTGACAGGGTCGAAGGCTTTAGAGAGATCAAGGAAAATACCTACAGTATATTTACCTTCATCTATTGCTTTGGATATCTTATCGGTTAGTTCAAGAATGGCATGCTCAGTTGATCTATTTTTTCTAAAACCAAATTGATGTTCTGAAAGTATACGATGTTTTTCAACATAGTTAATTAATCGCTTGTGCATAAGTTTTTCAAGTAGTTTTGAAAAACAAGTTAATACCGATATAGGTCGATAGTTTTCAAATAGATTATTTTCCTTAGCTTTGAAAATAGGAGTAACTAAAGCTATTTTTAAAAAATTTGGTATTTTTCCAGTTTCAAATGATAGATTATAAATATATGTTAGAGGTTTAATTATTTCTTCACTGATGATCTTTATCATTTTCGCGCTTATGTCATCATGTCCTGCACTTTTAGTTTCACTTAAGTTATTAATCTCAACTTGCAGCTCATATTCAGTCACAGGTTCTATAAACATACTTTCAACATAGTTACCATTAAGGTAGCTTTCATACGTTATGTTATCATTTTTGGGAATTTTTTTGGCTAGTTGTGGACCAATTTTCACAAAATATTCGTTAAATTTGTTAGCAATTTTCAGAGGATTTGAAACATTATTATTTGAATTCTTCTGTAAAAAAGTATCGGGTAGTTTTGATCTAGTTTTATTTCTGTTAAGAACTTCGTTAATAGTTTGCCATAGTGCCTATGAGTTTGCCATTTTCAGTCATTTTGTATTACGCGCGGGAAATACATACCTCCTTCGGAAAAAGGGTATGTATTTCCCGTTTGTAATACAAAATGACTGAAAATTGCAAACTTCGCAAGGCTATATTATCCGCATTTTACAACATTTCACAACGAAACTTCGGAATATTACTAATTTTGTGATGCTCTTTCAAGCTGTGATAAAATTTTTGTCTAGACTTGTTGAAATCTAAATTTTAGTCAAAAGGTCCATTAGCCCACTGTATTATGTATGATACATAACTTAATTCGCTTCTAAATAGAATTATTTTGCTTAAAAAAATTTTTACTCTTCTTCCTAATTTAGGTTGGTGTTTCTCGAGCTATTTTTTCTGGAAGCGCTATCAAGAGTCCAGTCAATCATCCATGGATGTGTTGCAATTAGGAGGTTGTGTTTTGGGTGGTGGTTGGATGTGGATGTCGCTGTTTCCTGGCAGAGCAAGTGTTTACTACGAGTCCTTACCGAAGCTAGAAGCGGACCATCAGATGATAAAGGAGAAATTGGAAGATTTGCGAGTAAGCCTGCAAAGCGCTAAAGATCACAGAGATGGACTCTAGGGACAAATATGGACGAGGACAATGACCAACCCCCAAATCCGACTCTGAAATATTCCCAGAAAGTGGCGAAAACGTGGCGAAAAAGCAGATGGGAGTAGAGCCTTTCCTACTGAGATATTTTGGGTATTTTTCTCGATAGAACAACAATTGCATAAAGGGTTTCTGTAGTTGGAAATTTCAGAGGGCGGAGATTATAAATATTATTTACAACTTGAGTGGCCGTGTTGTGTATCCGATACAAGGCTTGGGCGCGAATGTTGTAAATGGCTTGTGAAACTCGTCTTGATGAGAACATTCGTATTCTTCAACAATTTGAAATAAATCAATGATATTTGGTGAGAAAATTGAACTTAAAGTTTATGTAAATCAACATGATTTTGTATCAGATATACAAACTCCTTCACGTTCATGATTTCTTTTGTGTTTTCTTCATGAATTATTAATGAGTTTCACACACAATTTTAACCTAACCAGGAGTGTATATAGTCTGTTGTGACGCAGGCTAAACCAGGAGCCATTCTT